TTGTGGTTGCACTGACTCTGAGCATTTTGACTTTGGGCCAATCTCCTGTCTTTTCCTCATATTTTTTCTATCCAAATAATCATCCAATGCCCTTTTGAATGCATCAGTTGAACCTGCCACATTTACAGGCAATGCATACCAAACCCCAACTATGTGCTTGTATAATAGTTTTTTTGCCGTCTCACATTTGATTCTTTTGCAAAAGTTTTTAAAACCATCTGGCTTTCGATCTTACCTGCTCTGTCCAGATCCCTCAAATGTTTGAAAATTCATATTGGAACTCCTCTTACCCTCATTTTCTCTTAAGCAAATATTCCCAACCTCTCCAATCACTTCAAATCTTTGTCCTTTTGCTTATGATTCATTTTTTGAGTTCGTATAGCTTCTCCCATATACTCTATCCTAAATCCACATGATTTTGAAACTTCTATGTCATTTCCTCTTAGTCATGTTCTCTCCAAGGACAGTAGTCCCCACCTTACCAAGGTTTCTTCATAGCTGAAGTTTCTCATCCCTGAAATCATTCACATAAACCTCTTCTGTGGTCTCTCTAATGTATTCACATCCTTAAAGTGTGGCATTCAGAATTGTACACAACCCTTCAGATGGAGATTTACCACTGCCCTATAAGTTTAACACAACTTCCTTGCTCTTCTATTCTATTCCCTGATGATTGAAGCCTGGTATACTATGCTTTATTAAGTGCAGTCTTACCTGTCATGAAACTTTTAATCACTTACTCATGTAAACACCTGGTTATCTCCACTCCTACACATTCTTTAGACTAGTACTCTTTATTTTATGATGTCTTTCTATGGTCTTTGTACAAAAATATATTATTTCATACTTCTCACAATTATGAAGTCGACAGCTATCCTGTTCACTATCAGCTACCTGGCAAATTTTACCTGGCAATTTCTGAATCATGCCTCCCCTTTTTAAGATCAAATCATTAATGTATACAATAAACCATTTCTGAGCCCTGTGAAACACTGCAGGAAGCTGTTTTCCATTTGCAGTAACTGCCAATGACAGTTATTCTTTATTTCCTGTCCCTGAGCCAATTTTTGATCCCGCCCACCATGAGCTTTTACATTAATGATCAGTCTGCCATGTGGGACCTTGACAAATGTCTTACTAAAATCCATGTAGACAACATTCACTGCATTACCTTCATCAATGCTCCTCATTACTTTCCCAGAAAAATTCAATTAAGGGGAGATTATGTCTTAGTAATTTAACAAAACCATACTGATTATCCCTAAATAATCCACGTCTTTCTAAGTGACAGTTTACTTTATTCTCAGAATTGATTCTAATAACTTGGCCACACTGAACACTGCCTGTAACTCTTTGACCCATCCCTCAAGCACTTTTTAAACAATGGCTTATAGATCTCCAATTCTCTGCTACATCATCTGTATCTAGTATGAACTGGAAAACGATGCTGTGGCATCCAATATTTCTTCCCTGGCTCCCTTTAACAGCCTGAGATACAATCCATATATCCCTGACGATTTATCTACTTTCAAGGATGTTAGTGGTTCCTCTTATATTATGCTTATAGTATTGAATATTTCAGACTCCTTTTTAACAATAATGTCCACATCACCCCGATCTGTTGTGAAGACAGAGACGAAGTATTCATTAAGAACCTTGTCCACAACTTCTGCAATTATGCACTAGTTACCATGTACATATCTGATAGTTTTCACTTGTTCCAGAGTTAACTTTTTGCTCTTAATGCACCAATAATTTATTTTTGGGTTTTTCTTGATTTTACACGTCAATATATTTTCATATCCTCTCCGCTTTTCTAATGTCCTTTTTTTAAAAAAATTTCATCCTTGCACCTACTGTACACCACTAGGTTTTCTGCAGTATTAAATTTTTTGGGACAGTAATAAGTTTTATCTTTCTTCTTTACCTTGTCTTGTATGCAGAGGACTCCAGATTTATCAAAGCCAGCCTTTAGCTTTATGGAGACATGTCTACAATGTACCTGTAGAATTTCACTTTGAATGCCTCTCACTGATCTGGTCTTTTGAGTAGCTCTACCCAATCCACCTTCACCAGATCATCTTTCAGCTTCATAAAATCTGTCTTTCCCAATTTAGAACTTTTATTCTTGCTCTATGTTTTTCCTTTTCCATAATTGTGTTAAATCTCATTGTATTGTGGTCACTTTCTCCAAAATCCTAACCAATGCTACTTCATCCATTTACCCAGCTTAATTTTCTAAGGCCGAATCTAGAATTGCAAACATTTCATTGCGTTTGTTATATGTTTTCTAAGAAAAATATTCTTGAATGCACTTCAAGAGTTTTGTGCCCTCTGTGCCTTTCATACTGTTCATACCCCAGTTGATATTAGGGAAATAGAAACCCCTAACTACCCTTCTATCTGACTTCCACTATTTGGGGGTCTATTTTACACTCCTAGTAGCCTGGCTGCTCGTTTTTATTTCAAAGCTCTATTCATATGGCCTCATTTGATGTGTCATTTTAATATATCATCCTTCCTCACAGCTGTAATTGATTCCCTAACCAATGGTGCTACACTCCCAGCTTTTTGTCCTCTTCTGTACTTGGCCTGATGACCCTATGTGTGGGTTCCAAGTGCCAGGAATATGGGTTTGATTCCACTCTCAGGCTACTGTGTGGAAATTGCGTATTCTCCATGTCTATTTGGGTTTTCCCTAGATGCTGCAGTTTCCTCCCACAGTCCAAAGATGTGCAGGTTATGTTGATTGGCCATGCTAAATTGCCCATGGTGTCCAGAGATCTGCAGGCTAAGTGAATTAGCCATGAGAATAGGGATAGGTTAGGGAGGTGGGTTTGGGGAGATGCTTTTCTGAGGGTTGGTGTAGACTTGATAGGCCAAATGGCCTACTTCCACACAGTGTAGGAATTCTATTATTTTGTACCTCTTTAACACTTCCAAGTAGCTACGCTGAACACATTTCATTGATCATTTATCTTTCAAAGTCACTTGCTAACTTTCTGCCTCCTATTCCCTGCTCGGAACTTGTCCTGTGCTGACCTGTTCATCAGGTTCTCATCCCTGTCAATCTAGTTTAAACCCTTCCCAACAGCGCCAATGAATCTTGCTTCGAAGATATTTGTTCTAGTCCTGTTCAAGTATAGATAATCCACAAAGGAGACAATATGCCATTCTGGAGACATACCTATAGTCACAGAAACGTCTGTCTGTACCCTTGACTAACTACCAGAACTGCTCTTCACCTCTTCCTCCTTGATAGTCTTGTGGTATTATCGCTGTACTGTTAATCCAGACACCCAGATAATGTTCTGGGGACCTGGATTCAAATCCCGCCATGTCAGATAGTCAAATTTGAATTCAATAAAATATCTGGAATTAAAGAATCTAATAATGACTATGAATCCACTGTTGATTGTCAGAAAAACCGATCTGGTTCACTAATGTCCTTCAGGGAAGGAAACTGCCATCCTTACCTGGTCTGGCCAATATGTGACTCCAGACCCAGAGCAATGTGGTTGACTCTCAACTGCCCTCTGGGCAATTAGGGTTGGGCAATAAACGCTGTCCTAGCTAGTGATGCCCTCATCCCATTAATGAATAAGAAAGAGAGCCTGTGGTGCCAAGAATTTAGCCCTGACTGCACACCCCTGAGGCCCAACCCCCCTCTTCACTATCCAAAACAGTCAAATTTGTGAATGAGACCTAGGGACTCCTATACTACCTGCATGATTGTCTTGGGCTGCCCTATGGATGCCCGTTCTATTTCTGCTTCCAACCTCCTGCCATTTGGGGTGACATACTTCTCTGAACATGCTATCAACACTACCTTTGGTCTCGTGGACATGCCACAGTGACTCCAGCCACCACTTGAGCTTTAAAACCTAGAACTGGTGATATTTCCCACACATGTGCTTTTCAAGGTCATGTATAGTGTCCATGACTTCCCACAAAGTACACGACACATTCCCCATCACTAATCTGCTGTCTGCACTTTAGCTTTACTTGCATTTAGTGGCATGGTGGCTCAGTGGTTAGCACTGCTGCCTCACAGCGCCAGGGACACGGCTTCGAATCCACCCTTGGGTGACTGTGCAAACTCTACATGGACATTCTCCCTGTGTCTGTGTGGGTTTCCTCCCAGTGCTCTGGTTTCCTCCCACAGTCCAAAGATGTGCATGCTAGGTGGGTTGGCCATGCTAAATTGTCCGTAGTGTTCAGGGATGTGTAGATTAGGTGGGTTATGGCAGGGTGGGTCTGGGTGGGATGCTTTGAGGTTCGGTGTGGACTGGCTGGGCTGAAGGGCCTGTTTCCACACTGTAGGGATTCTATGATGTTAACTTTATTTTAACCTTGGTTTATTAATATTCTTTTTTTTTTGCTTTAAAAAAAAAGCAAAAGTGTGTTTCTGGTCCGGATCAGAAGATCTGGGCCATTTGTATTTCTACTGATTGTGGATCCACAATGGTAAGTTAGAAATGATAGTATCAATAGACAGGTAAACTAAACTGCTGTGCTTGCGTTCCATTACTGTGTTTTAAGTTGCTTTCTACCCTCGATCATGTACTGGGTTAAGAAATGATGACATCAGGGGCTTATTGTTACCCGATTTGTCTGCTGGCTAGAAAATGAGCTCGGATAGAATAACACCAAAGGAAAAATATTCACTCATGTGAAGTTGAGCCATGCCCAAACAGCATCCAGAATATGTTAGTAATTTCTATTGAAAATGTACTTTGAGTATTTAGCACTGCTCTTAATGCGAAAACCAATTGTATCTCGTTTATTAATTCTCCTTTAATTTAGAGTTAATTTTATTTTTTTAAAAACTGCATTCATTTGCTCCTTCCACACTGTCTTCTATTCAGGTGTTTATATTTTAATTGGAAGGAAAGTTCTGTGTCAAGACAGAGGAATTGTCAAATGGGTGAGAGAAACTGATCTCCAAGGACAGAGTATTTTATATGTTAACTATTCCTGCTTCGTTTTATTTCTTTCAGACTTCCGCTACAACGATCTTGTTTCTCCACGTTACCTGGACTTAATAGCCAATCTCTCTGGCTGCACAGCGCATAGGCGATTCCCAAACTGCTCGGACATATGTTATCACCAAAAATATCGAAGCCACGATGGTACATGTAACAATCTCCAGCATCCAATGTGGGGAGCGTCACTCACGGCATTTGAGAGAATTCTAAAACCAGTTTACGAAAATGGTTTCAGCCTTCCGAGAGGTACTGATTCCAACCGCCTATACAATGGCCACCCGTTACCACTCCCTCGCCTTGTTTCAACAACAATGATTGGGACAGAGACAATAACTCTAGATGACAAATTTACACACATTCTGATGCAGTGGGGCCAATTCCTGGACCATGACTTAGATCTAACCGTGCCAGCTCTCAGTATGTCTCGGTTTTTTGATGGAGAGTCTTGCAGTTCTGCGTGCAGTAATGATCCCCCTTGCTTTCCAATTATCATTCCAGAAAACGATCCTCGAGTAAAAAATGCTAGATGCATGTTCTTTGTTCGCTCCAGTCCAGTATGTGGCAGTGGTATGACTTCCTTATTGATGAAATCAGTATATGCCAGAGAACAGATCAATCACCTAACATCATATATAGATGCATCAAATGTATATGGTAGTACAGACCGCGATTCCATGGAAATTCGAGACCTTACAAATCAGCGTGGTCTGTTAAAAGAAGGTGAACTTGTGCCGAGATCTGGTAAACACATGTTGCCTTTTGCCACAGGTCAAACTATAGAATGCTTGAAAGATGAAAATGAAAGTCCAATTCCTTGCTTCCTTGCAGGAGATCATAGAGCGAATGAACAGGTTGCACTGACAGCCATGCATACCTTGTGGTTCCGTGAACATAATCGTATTGCCACTGAACTACTGAGATTGAATCCTCACTGGGATGGCAATACTGTTTATCATGAAGCACGAAAAATTGTTGGAGCGCAGATGCAGCACATCACATACTACCACTGGCTCCCCAAAATTCTTGGAGACGTGGGAATGAAAATGCTAGGACCCTATAATAGCTACAATCCAAACATGAATGGTGCTATTTTTAATGCTTTCGCCACAGCAGCTTTTCGGTTTGGTCATACATTAATCAATCCTATTCTCCAACGACTGAACAGTTCTTTTCAACCAATTCCAGAAGGTCACCTTCCTCTTCACAAAGCTTTCTTCTCTCCATTCAGACTTATCCAAGAAGGGGGTATTGATCCACTTCTCCGTGGCCTTTTTGCATCGGCAGGGAAAATGCGAGTCTCTTCAGAGGTTCTCAATTTGGAATTGACAGAAAGGCTCTTTTCCATGGCTCATGCTGTAGCTTTGGACTTGGCAGCAATGAACATTCAACGGGGTCGCGATCATGGCATCCCCCCCTATTCGGATTACAGAGTATTTTGTAATATGACTGCTGTTCAGACCTTTGAAGACTTACAAAATGAGATTAAGGACGCAGAAGTGAGGGACAAACTAAGAAGGTGAGTGCCATCTTATTGTGAAAATCCAGGCGCGGGGGAAGAGAACGGTTTTTTCCTTTAGTATAGTGTTGAAACATGTAAGAAGATACCTTTCATCTGAAGTGGTGTAAATAAGTTGGTAGCACTATCAAGGAGTATGAGAGTCAAATTTTCAATGGCAGGTATTGATATTTTTCCAATTCCAGGCTACACATATGGTGTTGGACAGGATTTAATAGAAGTGACTGTGCCAATGTATATGTTTTGTGAGAAATTTTCTTCGGATTTTCTCAAGAGCTACTTTTGGTTTTTGGGGGTTTCATTTTTGTTTTCAAAAACCATTTTTTAATTCTAACAAAGTAATTTATTAGGCGATGTAGCGATGAAGTAACAATACTTTCTGCATTTGCGTTGACACCTAGGTAAAGGTAAAGTCATCATAGTCACCACTGGAACGTTTAGCTGCGCTCTCATTAGAGAGGGATCACAAGTGATGGTTTAACCTATGTGGCACTATGCCTCAGATGAGGCAGAGGTTGAGAAGAAGTGCTTCATTGTAACCTCAGCAAGTGCAGGAATTGAAGTCACATTGTTGGCATTATTCTGCTTTGCAACCAGCATCCCCCCCACAGCCAATTGAGCTAACCCACCTCTAGATATATGGAGTATTTGCACTTACACAGAAGCAGCCCAGCCATTTGGGCTTATTGTTATCATGCGGTGGCTCTGGGTCACCATCCTATCACTTACCTTCTTCCTGTTCCCTCAGTCACAGATCACTAATGAGTCTACCAGCAGCAAGCATAGGAAAGAATCTGCCAGTGATTGGAGATTCTTCTATGAAAGTGATGTTTTTTTCCCCCCCAGTTGGGTGCCCCTGTGACTGAAGTTCTTTCCCCAGACATATTGAGGGTGTTTTTGTCCTCCACCCCTTTATATTTTACTGCAGCCATCTAATAATCAGCAGCTTAAGGAACCATTAGTCATTAAAACTGCTGTTGAAATAATATATTTGGTAGTTCTGTTATAATTAGACAGCACACATGACACATGCTAACTCAGGTTATTCATTTGACCATCAGTTGTGCAAGATTTGCTGATATCCATGCCAAAACATTGTATAATTTTCATGTACTACCAAGATAAACACCTTTTGAAATTTAATTGAATAAAATTGAGAAACATCAAAGTTTACATCAAAGCAATGCATCTCACTTGGGAGCAAGATATGTTTCTCAATAAGTTGTGCTGCAGTTGAATACTTGATGTAGACTCCTCAATGCATAGATTGATGAAGATCACTGCAAGACTGCTGGCCCAATTTCAAAGGTGTAGGTATAATCTTGATATAGAAAAACAATAAAGGCCTTTTAATTTTTGACTATTTAGACTGCCATATTCACATCTATAGTTTTGAAATTGCAATGGGGTACATAAAAATCTTCTCCCCCTCTATGTAAAAATGGCATAACTGTTGAAAATTTGAAAACCTATGGGCCTACAAATTTGATGACATCAGTAAATAAGTGTGCATGCACCTATTAATGTAGGTGAAGGAACTTATGAACATAGAAAATAGACTAAAAAGAATCATTATCCAGCTAGCTAATTGTGGAATTTCCTGATATTCACATTATAAAATGGTAAAGGTGTTTTTGACTAATTACAGCAAGCAATATCTACTAATTAGTTCTCAATCAAAACAGTTTTGGCATGAAGAAAACATGTCAATGCAACATTCTCCTGGCTCCTTCTCATCTTCCATGCTCCAGAAAGTTAAACTCATCTAAAAATAAACTGTTCGTACCCTAACTCTCACCAAGTCTTGTTCAAACATATTACTGTGCTTGCTGCTTTATATTGGCTCCCAGTCTGTCAGGGCCTCAATTTGGCATTTTCATCTGTTTGAATTCCACTATGGCCTCAATCCTTCCCAACCCTTCTTAACCATAAAATCTCCAAGATATCTGTGGTCATCCAATTTGCTCTTTTGTGCATCTCGTAATTCAGCAACTTTATAGATACCTAAGACCCAAGCTGTAGAATTTTCTCTTAAATATTGTCTTGTTTACTTCTTCCTCCATTACTAAAACACTTTTTGAACTACCTCTTTGTTCAAGCTTTCAGTAGTCAACCTTAACACTGTCAGTCAAATCTGGCAACTCGGATCAGAGGCTGTGTGGTGTTTTGGAATTTGCCACATTTTGGGTTGAGCTTTGATCAAACTTTTGGGCAGTACAAGTCAAGCTGGGTTGGATGATGTCAATGATCACTTGAAGCAATGGAATAGACAGATGAATGACACAGTGAAGCCAATAACTACTGTACTGCTTCCAATCATTGCCGAGAAGAATTTTTTTAGTTTCCATTAAAAAAGGTTAAAGCATGGCACATTAAGTGTATGGCATTTAGACAGTTTTTGGACAGCTTTATTTAAGACACTATAACTATAACTCCTTATGTGGGTTGGTGTCAAATTTTGTTTTACAAAGTTCCTTTAAACTGCCTCAGACTTTTTACAAGGTGAAAGTGCCAAATAAGTGCAAACAGCTATCATTGTACCACAAGGTAACATAGAATGTTGTATATCACATGCAGTCAGCCAGAATGGTGATCCAATTCTTTAGACATTTCATGAATGGTAGTTTCAAACTTGCAAGCTAGAAACACCTTATAAACCATTGCTCACCAAAATCTACTTCGAACTCAAGGTTATGCATATCTTTCGCAATGCCTAAACATGAAAACTGTCGAAAATAATTAGTGAATAGAAAAGGAGTAAATGTCATATAGTCATCGTGGAACTAAAAAAAATTCATTTTGTGCAATCCTCTGTTGTCCCTTCCCTTTGTAATACTTGTTTTTGAGAAAGAACATAAATCTTAACTGAAATGAGAACAAAGAATTATCAGGGTGATGATACAAATGTAACAATAGCAATGAGTTTCAGTCTTCCAAAAGTAATTGCTAATAAAACTGGGGGTGACACAGTGGCTCAGTGGGTTAGCATTGCTGCCTCACAGTGCCAGGGACCCGGGTTCGATTCCACCCTCGGGCCACTGTCTGTGTGGAGTATGCACATTCTCCCCATGTCTGCATGGGTTTCCTCCAGATGCTCCAGTTTCCTCCCACAGTCCAAAGATGTGCAAGTTAGGTGGATTGGCCATGAAAAGTTGCCTGTCGTGTTCAGGGATGTGTAGATTTACGTGGGTTAAATGGGGATAGGTCAGGGTGGGATGCTCTGGAGGGTCAGTGTGGACATGTTGGGCTGAAGGGCCTGTTTCCACACTGCAGGGATTCTAAGAAAACTCTAATTTACAGTAATATAAAACTGTGTCACAAAATTTGATAGTCATTTCAAACTTGAAATGGATGTGGAAAATGACAAGTTTCCTGTCAAATGGAAATAAACCTTTAGCTGTGAAGTCATTTCTTTATTGTCTATAAAAATGGTGTCATTATTGGACTGAGGTCAGCCAGGTAGACCTCAGAATAAGAGTTCCCTGATTGGTGCTGTTAATCTGGTCCAATCAGGGAGTCTGTCTGGGAAGCTTGATTCGTTTGATCTTGCTGTCAAAGACCAGGTCCAGTATGTGGAAAGAATGCATTTTTTTTTCCTGGGCAAATGACATTGGGACAGACAAAAAGCAACAATTAATTCTCCTGACAGCTTGTGGACCCGCAGCTTTTTTCGTTATTAGGAGCCTAACATTTCCTGAGACACCAGAATGCAGCTAGTAGGTTAGCATCCATCTCAAACATGAGAGGCTGAGTACTGATGTGACTTCCATACAAGAGGACAACTTCAGTGAAAATGAATCACAGAAAGCAAAACATTGCATATTCATCTGGAAAGGGGAAGAGTTCAAGACTTTATAATGAAAACTCCAACTTGATCAAGAACTCACTGCTCTCAAAAATAGAACACCTCACAAATAGTTCAGAATGTGGCCTCCCCATCCCCCTGTCAACTCAATCAGGGCCAATTGACCTCAAAGTATGCATATTCCAATACTGTGCTGCATGACAGAGATGAAAGAACACTTCTGTAAGAAGTTTGACAGTGTTGGGAGCAGAACCCCAAAAACAGAATATATACTGGAGTATTTCAAACCGTGATTGGGTGCAAGTAAAGAGTAATGGTCCTCCTAATTAAGTATCCAACTTAGGAAAAAAAAGTCAGTTAGAACAAACAGAGCTGAGTTGACTTTTTCCGAAACCATGAACTTTGTGTACTTAACCCTTTCTTCTAAAAACAGGGCAGTAACACCAGCTGGCTATGATCTTTGCAACTCTTTGCGATCTGCAGTGGGGTAAAAGAGAATTGTGTTGTGGTACTGATAGTCTTTAACATAGCCTTCTTAAAAATAGGGGGGTTGGTAATGTGGTGCAATGAAAACAATTTGTCTCTCAATGTCAGCAAAACTAAAGAACTGATCACTGACTCCAGAAAGTAAGGAGGAGAGCACACCCCCATCTACATTAACGGAACTGAGGTTGAGAGGGTGAAGAGCATCAAGTTCCTTGGAGTGACAATAACAGACAACCTGTCCTGGACTTCCCACATAGATGCGGCAGTCAAGAAGGCATAGCAATGCCTCTTCTTCCTTCTCAGGCAGCTCAGGAAATTATCATATCCATAAAGGTCTCTCAACAATGTCTACAGATGCACCATTGAAAGCATACTGTCCGGGTGCATAACGGCCTGGTACAGCAACTGCTTTGCCCAGAACTGTAAGAAACACAGATGGCAGTGTGCACAGTCCAGACCATCACGGAAGCCAACCTTCCATCCATGAACTCCATTTACATGGCTCACTGCCATAGAAAGGCTGTCAACAAAGACCCATCACACCATGGTAATGATCTCCTACAACCTCTTCCATCAGGCAGAAGATACAGAAGCCTGACACACGCACAAGCACATTCAGGAACAGCTTCTTCTGATCTATTATTAGACTAATGGATGGACTCTTTAATTTCAAATAATGCTGATTTGATCTCGCCTGGTGCACACCCTG